GTTGCAAGTTTGAGACCAGCCTGGGCTACAAAGTGAGCTCAAGGCCAACCTGAACTGCATAGCAAGACCCTGTCTCAAAAAGACAAAAAAAAAAAGAATAGGAAAATTTACTGAGGAAAAGGAGTGGGGAGTAGCAATGAGGAACAGGAATAGCTCCTGAGAGACAGGGGGGTCCTGAATGGGTTGCCCTATACAAATAACATGTGTTAATTATAAATGCTTCAACCAATATGAAACAAGATGCAGGAGTACGTAAATAAGCATGGCCCTAGGCCCTCAACTCTGGCACCCAGAGATCATCGCTGTCAATCTCTGCAGCCTTCTTTCTAAACTTCTCACAATTCATTCACACTTGCTGTTGGTTCACCTGCAAGCCCGGGTTAAACAGAGCATGGGCGCCAGATCTCTCCACACAGAACTAATGGAATCTATGTGACCAAAGAGGAAGTGGGCCTCACAGGCAGCCCTTCCGAACGGAGAGGGGGCACATGGAGCTCCGAGGGCATGGACCTTTTCTGTTCATGGAGCTCCTGAGAGCTGATCCCCTGCGCACCCTCCCTCTCCTTTCCTGCCTACAAGGCCTGTGCCCAATGACACCTCCTCCGGGAGGCCTCCATGGTCATCCCTGCAGCCAGAGTTAAGTCTCACACTCCTGTGCAGCCCACAGCAAGCTGCTGACTTCCACAGCCTTTGGTCTGCAGCTCTAGGGCTTTTTCAGAGTTAACGACATTCTTGGGGGCTCCCTCCTCAGCCTCGGAGGGTCTCCGGGACAGGTACTGTTTCCCTCTCTGTGATGTTTTCTCAGCATCTGGCTGGTCCTAGGTGCTTCAGATGTCCTTTTAAAAAAAGAGAAAAGAGGGGGCTGGGGACTTAGCTCAGCGGCAAAGCGCCTGCCTGGTAAGCGCAAGGTCTTGAGTTCGGTTCCTGGTACTGGAGAAAAACCAAAACCAAAAAAACCAAAACAAAAAGAGAAAAGATGTTATCCTCACTTTTGAGACTCTGAATCCCAGTAAGAGTCAGCAGATGTTTGCTTAAAATGAATCCTCACCTGAGAAGGCTGAGCCACTTCCAACTGGGCCTGATGTTATTCCTGAGCTGCTTGCTTCCTTATAGGACTCATAGATTGCCTGGATTCTCCTTGAGGGTGATGATAGGCTCCTTTTTCCCCCAATGTGACTGTTTTTTGTGGGTTTTTTTTTTTTTTTTGTCATACTGGGGCTTGAATCTAGGACCTTTGCACAAAGCCACATCTCCAGCCTTTTTTAAGATTTTTTTTAGACAAGATCTTACTAGGCAACTGAACTGCCCAAGCTGGGATTGAATTAAACTTGGGATCCTCCTGCCTCAGGTTCCTAGAGTGCTAGGATTACAAGCACGTACCACCATGCCCAGCCCCAATGTTACTTCTTGAATCTTCCCTTGGTCCTCAGACCAAGAGCTCCCAAAGCAAAGGAGAAGTGTTACAGGCAGCTGAGTCAGACAGAAATATTATAGGCCGTCAGACAGGGCCAGGCCCTTGAAGGAGCCAATATAGAAGACAAAATACCTTGCAAATGGAGACATATTTACTGTGGGCCAGACCTCAAGACAAGTGCAAGGCACTTTGAGTTCAATTTCTGATACCAAAAAAAAAAAAAGAAAGAAATTTCAGACCGCAAGACAAAAGATTAAGAGTCTCGCTGGGCGTGGTGGCACACACCTGTAATCCCAGCACTTGGGAGGCTGAGGCAGGAGGAACCTTGCAAGTGAGACCAGCCTGGGCTAAAAATGAGCTCAAGGCCAGCCTGAACTGCATATCGAGACCCTGTCTCAAAAAAACAAAAAATTTGGGGCTGGGGATATAGTTCAGCAGCATAAACGCCTGCCTGGCAAGCGCAAGGTTGTGAGTTCGATCCCTGGTACAAAAAAAAGACAAAAAAAAAAATTTTTTTTTTGTTTTTTTTCTGTACCAGGGATCGAACTCACTACCTTGCGCTTGCCAGGCAGGGTCTGTGCTGCTGAGCTAAATCCCCAGCCCCAAAAAAGACAAAAAATTAAAAAAAAAAAAAAAAGTCTCATGCTCTACCCACTGAGCTAGCCCAGGCAGCAAGACAAAAGATTAAACAAATGCATCCAATACCTCCCTAGGGATGGACATCAGGGATTGATATTCTAAATAGGTAGCCATTACCTTGAAGAGTGAAAGGCCCCTGTTGTGTAGTCAAGGGACTCGCTTCCCCATTTGATCCCGATTTAATCAATTTTACCTGAACAATTCTTATTGGGTGACCATAGTTTTGTCCCACCTCCTGCCCACCTTGTGATTTCCCATTCCCCCCCTCCACCTTGGACCCACCTCACCTCATGGTTTTGCTCTATAAAA